TTTTTTTTTTTTTTTTTAAATGTCGTCAAAAAAACGACTCGAGCGCACATTTATGTCTACACAAACATAACGCACCTGACCACCTCAAGTCTAAGAAAACCACCGCCTGTGTTTACCCTCTTAAAATGCCTTTGTGTGCCAGCAGGACATACATCTTTGTTACCTGGTAAAGCTTGTACGAGCAAAATATCCGCCACGAAATGTTTGGCCAACTGTCCACTCGCACGCAGACTGCACGCGCACAGGTAGCTCGCAGCCCGGCGCTCGAGACAGAGAGAGTTAAAAGCTCCGCGGGTGTTCACGACTCTAAAGATGAGCCGGCACCCCCTCCCTGCGACCTGAGGGGGGCACAGCACCCAATACGACAGGCTGCTACTCCCTATGTATGCTGCTGTGATGTTAAAAGTCCAATAAATTCAACATTATTTTGAGTGTGTTCCCATTTTCTAGTGCCTCGTGTATAACAAGCCTACTCTGCACCAGACTCGCAGAGAAAGTGCCATATTGCAGTGTTAATATAAACAGTCAGTAAACTAGACATGGGTCAGATGGTCCATGGTGTTTAAATGTTAATTCAGTCACGTTCATAGTTAACCTACACTACTGTACTCATAGACATCGTGCAATATACATAACATAGTTTAACAACTGTGATCACGCATACCCCGGGCACACATATTTAATTTTGCACACATCACCATCTCCTTAGGACCTCTCGCATTTACAATCTCTTTACTTATAATCCTATTCATTTTCCTGTCCCTGTTTTCTGTATATAACTTTTTTTTCTTTTGTCATCTTGTAATGTGCGGCTCCATAGATGACAGTAAAGGCATTCTATTCTATTCTATTCTAATTGGGTTCATTTAGATGTTTGGTGTCATGACAGCACAAAAAAGGGAGGGGTTTCAGTTTCAACCTGAGGGTATACTGGTTAGCAGCATTGACAGTATATATATAAGGTTAGGGGTTATAAGGGTAGCAGGGAGGACCTAAAGGTGCACAGTCGGTTTAAATATCATCACAGCAACCTCTGGGTCAAGACGTCTCTCCTGCTCTGAAGGTAACTTATAACTACTATATTGACTACTATACTACGTGTAAATTGGGGATAAATATTGGTAATGCAGGTTGTGCTTTAGTAAATATAAATGATTAATACCCTATATTAAAACAGCCAAATTATTGACACATTTAAAGCTCCTATGTGAAATGCTGTCTTATATGTGAAACCATTTGTTTGTGAAGGCCAATGATATACAGCAATTCTATCACAAGGCCTATTTCTGTTTACGCCTGCTTAGAAATAAATTTGATAAAGTGTAGAATGTACAATGTTAAACACAGCAGTGGTTAGTGTGCAGCCACAAATCATATAAAAAGAGCTGTATTGATATTATTAATAAAAACAAATTGTTCAATATAACAAAACCCACTTCCACATTGACTTAACTTTGCAGTAAATATTATGTGAACTCAGGAGATTGAATCAATAATGTGAGGTGAGGAAAGGCTTCACCAATGCTGGATACTAGATATTGCATTTTGTTCAGCAGGTCATACCCCTCCTGTAATACCTTCCCTATGCAATGCTAACACATATTTGTACGCAGTTACTAATTCATGTTTGTAAGTTTGTTTTTGAAGAAAAAAGTGCACATTTAAGTCACCACTGTAATGTTAAAACATTTCAAATGGTTTTCAGGAAGCAGCTTCATTCCCATCACTCCAATGGCTGACAACATCATCCCAAGCTTTAAGGTACTGAAACAAGTTATTTTAGTGTATTGCGGCTGTTTTGTTTGCAGAATGCATATATGCTAAACTTAAGGGGATGTTAGTAAAGGCTGTTCTATAAATGCCATTATGATTTAAGAGCACTTACCCTCAGTAGCTGCTCCAGCTGCAGCATCTTGATGATTCCTTGGCTTCTTGACACTTAAAAATCCCCCCTGTTGCACCACATAGAAGATATTCCAGCACTGCTTCTTGTCCTCATGTTGCCAAGAGCAGCACTGGAAGGCCTTGAGAGCCACAGTCATTCAGCGGTGTCCTTATTGTGACCAAAAGAACACATGAAAAATGAATCCAATGGACACACATCAGTATAAGTATAGGTCCACTTGATGTCAACCGGATCGAGAATTTCTAACGGTGTTTGATTTAGCCCTCAACTCGTCCATTATGTGGCCATTTCTGGGGGTTAGGACAAGACCAGTGTCCACACCTGTACCCGTCGTCCTCGCCCTCCTGGGGCAGCCTGCTCAGCAGAATCCACTTCCCCAGCTCACGCTAAGTAGCTGGAGCTTTGCTTGTTTTCTGACCCTGAACACCTGAGCAGTAGACAGCAGGCTCAGGTAGAGATTAGGGGGGACGTTTGTAGAGACACACGCACACTCACAAGGATAAGTGTTGGGTTCGGTTTGAAGAATGTAAAAAAAAATACAAAGATAAACTCTAAAAAAGGAAAATTAAACAATGAAAGAGCAAGTATATTAATATTTATATAGGGATTTGATGTAACAAAGATAATCAGCGGCATGTTAAAAATACATTAAAAAATGCATTACTCTGATCACTTTCACACGCTGTTGTACCTTCCTGTACTGTAATCTGGGATTATGGCACAAGCAACCTTCTGCACCAGGAGGGGATGAAGAGCCAGTTTAATCCCAGCCAATTGGAACAGATAACTCACTGAATGTCATACCAGAAAGAGGTGCCTCTTTAAAAGAAGGACATAACTCAGTCTTGCAGAACAGCAGGACGAGACAGCACTTGTTCTTGATAAATGTGACACATATTTCTCAACCTGCTGTTACTGTAGCGCCATAAAAGCAGTATGGGGACATAATAGACTCAGAGACTGGATGACTCAGATTGAAGCTCCTTCAGTGCAAATAATGCTTTTATATTCTGTATCTAAACATGAACTTTGACATCTAAATGGGGTAGTTGAGAGAGACAGCTTCAGTGCAAGTTTACATGAAGTATCATCCTGTTTGTGACTACAGTTTCTTTTCTGTATGCCTTAGTGTCACTGATGTTAAAGTGTAAGTGCTCTGTTGTCTGGTGACCACTGAGAGGTGAACTGTGACTCATGTTGTTGGCAATCTTTGAATTAGTCTGTCACACTGTCAATGTTACAGCAACCTCTGCTGGCCAAACACAGGCAGGGCTCCAAATGAACTTTAGTCTGCCAAATTCTTTTTTAGTATTTATAACTGCAAACTGCAGTGCAAATGCAAGCCTGTTTCTGATTATTGGTACATGGGATGAAATTTAGTTACACTACACACTGAACATTATTATTCATTATTATATGTACTCTCATTATTATTATTTTATTATTATTATTTAACCCAAATAATCACAATACTCATAACATTAGTCATCTT